TGAGGCGATCCCGTCAGTGGAGCGCGCTATCGCGGTCAATCTTTGTCCGCGCGGCGCCTCTACGTGGCGGGGTTTGCCCCGCCTCCCGTCCAAAGCCTGTAGGTTGTCTGCCTCCCTCGGAGCCAGAGCTTATAAGGCTGCGGGCCAGGCTGCTTCTGCTTTGCACGCGATGGCCACCTACCAGCGCTACCAAGCGCAGGCGCTGGCCGAGCTGCACGAGGGCGGGTCCAACCCAAGCTTATTACATGAGCTGCGCACCGCGACCGACTATGCTCTTCGGACTACTAAGTCCGCCGCGTGTGCGCTGGGGAGGACGATGTCCACACTTGTGGTTCAGGAACGCCACCTCTGGCTAAACCTGGCCGATATGCGCGACGTTGACAAAGTTCGCTTTCTTGACTCGCCCATATCCCAGGCTGGCCTGTTCGGCGACACCGTCGGTGAATTCACCCAGGAATTCAAGGCGGTGAAAGAGCAGTCGGATGCGATGGGCAATGTCATCTATCGGCGTGGCCGTAAGCCCGCTCCGCCCGCCGAGCCATCCACCTCCGCTGTTCCTCGCCGAGGGCGCCCGCCAACGAGTGCTGCCAACGAGAGCAAGTGAAGAGGAAACTTGCTCTTTCCCCGCTGGAGGGCGGGGCCCCGATAACAACGGTACTTTTCAGTCCCACCAAAACATCAGTAAAAGAGCACTTTTTCCCTTCCCCGGATGTGACTGCACGAGTTCTGCCAGTCCGGGACGCGCTGCCTTCCGGCTCGCAGACTCTACGTGCTTCGCCAGTGGCTCACGAGCGCTGGGGGGACGGTCTCCCTTCCCTCAGCCCTCCAGCCCCCTCTCCGGAGTCAGGGTGCGGAGCCAGAGCGAATCGCTCTCCTCCAGCTTTTCCGCGGGACCCTCGTGCTTCCCGGATCAGCACACCCACTCCGCGCTGCCCCACCGCTGGTACGTCAGCGATTGTAGCGATGACTCCATTAGCGAGGGCTCTGCCTGCCTGGTTAGCGCGGGCCAGCCCCTCGCGGTGGCTCATACGCACAATCAGACTCGGTTACGCGATTCAGTTCGCGAAACGGCCCCCCAAGTTTACGGGCGTGTATTTCTCCAGGGTCAACCCCCTGTCCGCCCCTGTCTTGCGAGAGGAGATTGCTGCCCTCCTGGCGAAGGGTGCAATCGAGCCGGTTCCTCCAGCCGAGATGGAGAGTGGGTTTTACAGCCCATACTTCATCGTACCCAAAAAGAGCGGTGGGTCACGGCCAATCCTAGATCTGCGCGTTTTGAACCGCTGTCTGCACAAGCTGCCGTTCAGAATGCTCACGCAGAGGCGCATTCTCCAATGCGTTCGTCCTCGGGATTGGTTTGCAGCCATAGACCTGAAGGACGCGTATTTCCATGTCTCCATTCTTCCACGCCACCGCCAATTTCTGCGGTTTGCGTTCGAGGGTCGAGCGTGGCAGTACAAGGTCCTCCCCTTCGGGCTCTCTCTGTCTCAGCGGGTCTTCACCAAACTCGCGGAGGGTGCCCTAGCGCCCCTTCGGCTCGCGGGCATTCGCATACTCAGTTATCTCGACGACTGGCTGATTTTAGCCCACTCGCGGGAGCAATTGATTATGCACAGGGACGAGGTGCTTCGGCATCTCCGCCTACTGGGGCTTCAGGTCAACCGAGAAAAGAGCAAACTCGCCCCCGTGCAGAGGATTTCTTTTCTCGGGATGGAGCTGGACTCGATCACCATGGTAGCGCACCTCTCCGAGGAACGCGCTCGCCTGTTGCTGAACTGTCTGAGGGAGCTCGACAGCAAACTAGTGGTCCCACTGAAGTTCTTTCAGAGGCTCCTGGGGCATATGGCATCCGCAGCCGCCGTCACGCCGCTTGGGTTGCTCCATATGAGACCACTTCAGCACTGGCTTCACGATCGGGTCCCCAGACGCGCATGGCACGCGGGCACACACCGGGTCTCGGTTACTGCGCTGTGTCGCCGCGCCCTCAGCCCTTGGAACGACCCCTCGTTCCTACAGGCCGGTGTGCCTCTAGGATAGGCGTCCAGCCATGTTGTTGTTTCAACAGACGCTTCCAACACGGGTTGGGGGGCCGTGTGTCGCGGGCATGCGGCTGCGGGCCTCTGGAAGGGTGCCCAGCTGCATTGGCATATCAATCGCCTAGAGCTGTTGGCAGTGTTCCTCGCTCTCCACCGCTTTTTACCGGTGCTGGAGCGGCAACACGTGCTGGTCAGGACGGACAGTACGGCGGCGGCGGCGTATATCAACCGCATGGGGGGTATGCGCTCTCGCCGCATGTCTCAGCTCGCCCGCCGTCTGCTCCTCTGGAGTCACCCGCGGCTGAAATCGCTGCGCGCCATTCACGTACCAGGCACGCTCAATCGTGCAGCCGATGCGCTCTCACGACAGCTGTTACGCCCTGGAGAATGGAGACTCCACCCCGAGTCTGTTCAGCTGATATGGGCGCGATTCGGGGAGGCCCAGATCGATCTGTTTGCTTCCCCCGAGAACGCTCACTGCCAGTTGTTTTTTTCCCTGACCGAGGGCTCTCTCGGCACGGATGCACTGGCCCACAGCTGGCCTCGGGGCATGCGCAAGTATGCGTTTCCCCCAGTGAGCCTGCTCGCGCAGTTTCTGTGCAAGGTCAGGGAGGACGAGGAACAGGTTCTGCTAGTTGCGCCCCTTTGGCCCAACCGGACCTGGCTATCAGAGCTCTCACTCCTCGCGACGGCCCTCCCCTGGCGGATCCCTTTGAGAGAGGACCTACTCTCTCAGGGACAGGGCACCATCTGGCACCCTCGCCCCGATCTTTGGAACCTCCACGTGTGGTCCCTAGACGCGAGGAAGACTTAGGTAACCTACCGACTGCGGTGGTTAATACCATCACTCAGGCTAGAGCCCCCTCCACGAGGCGCGCCTACGCCCTGAAGTGGAGTCTATTCACTGAATGGTGCGTCTCTCGCAGAGAAGACCCCCGAAATTGCCAGATTAGTGTTGTGCTCTCTTTCCTTCAAGAGAAGTTGGACAGCAGGCTGTCGCTCTCCACTCTCAAGGTTTACGTGGCCGCCATCTCCGCTTATCATAGCGCGGTAGCTGGCGGCACCGTGGGAAAGCATAACCTGGTCATCCAGTTCCTTAGGGGTGCTAGGCGAATTAATCCATCTCGCCCCCCTCTCATGCCCTCTTGGGATCTCGCCCTCGTTCTCACGAGTCTGCGATCCGATCCCTTTGAGCCACTCGAATCAGTATCTCTAAGATTTCTGTCCCTGAAGACAGCTCTGCTGGTTGCGTTGGCCTCCATCAAGAGGGTCGGGGACCAAGAGGCATTTTCGGTCAGTGACTCGTGCCTGGAATTCGGGCCGGATTACTCTCACGTTATCCTGAGACCCCGCCCCGGTTATGTGCCCAAGGTTCCTACCACCCCCTTTAGAGATCAGGTAGTGAACCTGCAAGCGCTGCCCCCGGAGGAGGCAGACCCAGCCCTTTCTTTACTTTGTCCAGTTCGCGCTCTGCGCATTTATGTGGACCGTACTCAGAATTTTAGATCATCTGAGCAGCTCTTTGTCTGTTATGGCGGTCGGCAGCAGGGAAGTGCCGTATCGAAACAAAGATTATCCCACTGGATTGTGGATGCCATTTCACTCGCTTATTCGAGTCGAGGTCAGCCGTGTCCCCCGGGAGTACGTGCACACTCCACTCGGAGCGTTGCATCCTCTTGGGCGCGTGCACGCGGCGCCTCTCTAACAGACATCTGTAGAGCTGCGGGCTGGGCGACACCCAACACATTTGCAAGGTTTTACAATCTGCGAGTGGAGCCGGTTTCCTCAAGGGTATTAGGTAACCCTTTGGTGATTGAGGAGACAACTCGGTAGGGTGTTGAAACACGCTTGCTGCGCCATTCTCCCTAACACGGAGGTACGTGCGCCTTTTTTATCTGTCAGTAAAGTTCCCCTTTCTGCCATCTATCCCCCCCTTGGGTAACGGATGGCCTCTGCAGCGTCCTCCCTATCGGGACTGCACGCTTCCCAACGTACTGTCGTATTTCCTAGAATTATCTAGATGCTCACGACTTCCCAAAAAATATATCTAAATCCGTAAAACTTCTGTTGAAGTAGGATAAATTAGGGCCAGGGACACGTTGGAGGACCGCGCCCCCCATGATGTGGGTGCGTCACGCTTGCTTGACTATCTCCTCATCGGGGGTGTTGGTAAGGTGCAGTCATTATGGCACTTTCCATATTCTCCCATTCATGGCACTGAAGTTCCCCAACCGAAGGGGAACGTTCGAGGTTACAGAAGTAACCCTTCGTTCCCCGAGGAGGGGAACGGAAGTGCCATATTCCGTCGCCATAATGACTGTCCCTTAGCTGTTTGAAAGTCTCTTCAGCTTAAAAGGATGGCGTCTGCTGGCTTCAGGTGTGCTTATATGCTGAGATAATTGCAGATGTCGCACACCTGCGCAAGCTTACGCTGCCAATTAATTTCATTCATTGGCCCGTTCAATACTCTCCAGATAAGCGGCTTCTGATCCGAATCCTCCCATTCATGGCACTTCCGTTCCCCTCCTCGGGGAACGAACGGTTACTTCTGTAACCTCGAACGTTCACCTAATTAAGCCTTTAAATGTCACTTTAAGCTGTATAGAAGTGTCTTGAAAAAGATCTAGTCAAATATTCTGTACTGTCATCATGGCAAAAATAAAATAAATCAGTTATTAGAAATGAGTTATTAAATCTATTATGTTTAGAAATATTCTCTTCGTTAAACAGATATTGTGGAAAAAATAACAATTCTGACTTCAACTGTATATCAGCTTAAATTATTATTGTCCACTGTCCTCTGTCATCCTAAGGCCAGTAGGTCACCTTTCATCGCTGCTTGCAGCTTTAATTTATTTTATTTTGGTTAACGAACATGTTTTTTGAACAGTCCTTTTAATCTTAGTTTTACTTTTTACTACTGTACAGTTACCTTACTAATCTGAGCACTGTTCTTTCTTAAAACAGATTTTGATGAGTCTATAACGAACGGCTCCTCCAGCCCTCATGTAAACGGGACGTCCTCGCGATCCACACATTCAGATGGCAGCAGTCAGGACAACAACGTACAGGTGAAGTGAAAACGATGCTAAACCTGAGTCTGCATTTAATGCACACGTTTGTCTTATTTTGTCTTATCTTTCTATATATATATATATATATATATATATATATATATATATACATACAGTGTATATATATATATTCCAGCAGCAACCCACAATACATTGCACAGTAAAAATAAAATAGATTTTTATTCTACTTTCAGCAAACAAACAGCCTTAATGTGTTTTTTCCTTTATTAAGATGTCCATGGTAATGTTTATATTCACCGTTTCATTTAGCGAAGCTCCTGGGGTAAATAAGTGATTATTTAGCAATATCAAAATATAAGTGACTATTTAGCAATTTCAAAATATTGCTAAGTTGTAGTCCTGTCACAATAATCAATATATGGACGTATCGCACAACACATAGACATGACCTCCATCATTTTTGGTACCCATACTCATAAACCTATTGTAGCAACATTTTAGCAGATTGTGCAACATCTCTGTGTCTATTGGAGATGTCAGTGTCAGTATGGTTAAAAAAACACTGTAGTATTTACTATAAATTACTATAGTATATTTTATTTGTGTGCCTGACAACAGAAAATAGATTTGATTGCAGATATCGAAGCCTCTGTTAATTTTGTGTTATTATTTATTATTATTTATATAGGATTTGCGCTTTCACATTCTGATACCAGTGCCTCATTATTAAATAGATAAAATGACTAAAATTAAATGAAATATTCTCAAGAAAAAAATATGATGTGTTTTTTGGAAGAGTGTACTTGCATTGTGATGTTATTATATTATCATTCTGGCATTATGTAATGAGTGGCATAAAATGGTCCTAAAATGACAATAATATCATTTATCGCAGTATATTTTGGGATGGTTCATTCCACTGTGGTGACCCCAGATTAACAAAGGGACTAAGCTGAAAAGAAAATGAATGAATGATTTGGTGCAATATATCATACAACAAAAAATTGATTTTGTGACAGGCCTGCTAAATAAACATACAGAAATGATTTTTTTGAGCGATTACTTGGTATGATTTGTGTTATTTTTCACAACAGTCGATTTGATAACATTTCATCGGAATTTGAACTAAACATATTTTAATTTGGATCTATATTTATTTCTTCAGAAAATATGAGACAGAAAAACAATATCAAGAAATATTATTAGTAGTTTGCTGAACAACACAAATGCATGTTACTCAAACACTGACAGTAAACAGTGAATCGAGAGAAAGTGAAAAAAATTTACATAACTGTATATGAGAAATTTATTAATTATTTAAGAAAGCCTATTGTTCACATCAGACTCAGCATGCTTGAATAAATTGCACTACTCGCTTGTAAAAAGACGTGTGAACATTTTGAGTTTTGTTGCTAAATGGCTTACATGGATTTTATTGAGAGAATAGCAGTGCTCATGTGCTTTAGGAAGGCTGAAAAACAGAGTAGATTCATTTGGAGCTGTGTCCACTAGATGCTTTTAGAAGTGCACCCAGCTCTGTGAGTTCATCAACTCCTCCAGAAACTGTACCAGGATGATGGAAGCTTTCAGTGGTGCTTCGAACTGAGCCGAGCCCAGTTTGATGAGCTGTTGTCCGGTGTCGAAAAGAGGATTTCCCCTCGGGACACCAACTGCAGGCGCTATGTCATTATCACAACCCTACAAAAGCAAGCTCCTGATTGGTTAACGCTGCGTGAATATCCACTGAAATTCAGATTTTCCAACTCAAGCGAATCGCGCAGTTCGCGTGTTAAAGTGTCAAATGCGAAAAATGCTAAATTAACACAGCTTCATTCTCTCGAATCGCATCATTCACATGAATCATGCCGCAGCGTGTCTATTCGTGTCTTTACATTGACTTAACATGTAAATCACTCGCGCTTCATCCACGTCTGGTGTGCACTCACCAATACGGTAGTCGAATAATGTAATAAATAGTTTGCACGTTGAGACCCATTTTACTTTTAACGATTTAATGTTACTTGTGTTTTATAATTTTTTAATTAAATTAAATAATAAAAAAAAAAAAAAATATATATATATATATATATATATATATATATATATATATATATATATATATATATATATATAGGAGCAATATCACACTCGTAGCAGTGCAATATGCCTGTATACCGGCACTGGTGGGAGGCTTGCGTTGCCTTAGTGCCCCCACCAGTGCCGATATACAGCCATATCACACTACTACAAAAGTGATATTGCGTTTATACAACAGTTTGACGGCATAATTGTGTATATAACAACAAAATCAAACATGGAGAGTCTTAAAAACCCTTTTGTATGAGGAACTACTTTCTTCCTTGTTGAATTCAAATCATAAGCTGACAGTAAAACAGTTGAGCGTGCATCTTTTAAACTTTAGATCTGTAGTGTCTGCTTTTTGCTGGCTGTATGTGGGCGGAGTAATACACAAAGGGTAAAGAGGCTGTACAGGTGCTGATATTACTTAAATATATCATGGCTATCAGCCAATCAGATTCGAGAACCAAACAGAACTGTTGTATATATATAAACATATATAATTTTGTTTATTTTTATTATTTTTTAAATAACACTATGCAGATGTTTTAATATTAATGTAATATTTTGATTTTTTTTTTGTACTGAAAATACCAAAATGGAGTAGATTTAGCACAACACTTATTTTAATTTACTAAGCAGATGTTTGACAATCACTAACCATGGTCAAACATCTGCCTTCTGCCCCACTAAATGTGTTCAAGATAGCAAAGCAATCCCAAAAAATGTATGATTAATAACAACACTGGAAATATCTCTACATTAAACACATGTATGTATTAAATGGATTATATATGCATGTACACATAAATATAAGAAATGAATGTAAACAAAAATAATGTGTATTTGTATGTTGCAGTACTCGAGCAGTCACCTCCTGGACCCGTTTGAAGAAACAGGTCTGAATCTGAGCCCCACGGCGGCCGAGGCTAAAGAGAAAGCCCACGCCAAACGCGCCAGAAAGAGAGCGCCGCAGATGGACTGGAACAAGAAACATGAGATCTTCAGCAATTTCTGAATCTCCAAAAAACAAACTCCCCCTGTTTGAGCTTCTCCTAAAGACAAAAAAAAAGCAAAACAGGCTCCTATTTTTGTAGAAAATGGAAAAGATGAAGCTAAAAAATCTGAGAAAACTCACCCGGAGGAGATCATGTAAGTTACACAGTAGGATTTCTATCTTATAAAGGGATGAGAGAGAGAGTCAGCAAAAGGATTTCTGCGTCATTTCATGTTCACGCTGTTTATTCAGCCACTTCAATATCGTACTTTCACAATAACTGGAAACCAAAAGCCAAATGAGACTACATATAACCTGTGCTTTATATGCACATCGCTCTATGAACAAAACCATTTCGAAAGACCAACCCAGTGCGTGTGTTTCTGTGGATTATCAGAAGAATGTACTTTTGCCAAAGACACACAAACCTATAATCAAGCTGATGTCTGCTGCGTTTGGATCGTTTTGAAGGGATGAACCACTATTGGATGTTGAATTGCTGAGAAGACAAAACTGGAGTGGCCCAGAAAGAGAGTTGCACATCACTTCTTCTACACTAGAGGGCGCTGTTAATGCTCTTTTGCTTATGAACGAACAGGTTTGAGTTAAATGCTATCAGTTGTTGCATATTCTATGAAGCAGTGTTTCCCAAAACTCTTCCTAGAGGCACACCAACAGTACATATTTCGATGTCTCCCTTATCTGACCCATTCACTTCAGGTTTTGAAGTCTTTTCTAATACTCTGATGAGTTGATTCAGGTGTGTTTAATTAGAAAGAGGTGGAAAATGTGTACTGTTGGTGTGCCTTTAGGAACAGGGTTAGGACACAGTGCTATAAAAGATTAGGAACACTTCTTTCACATTTAAAACAATAGAAATCCTAACATTTACATTTGATTTGACCTGCTTTGTCTAAATAACAAATGTTTTCATTTGCTGGAATAGTGGGAAAGCTGGGAAATCTGACAAATATTAACTTCTTGACTCATCTGAAGTTGACTATAAATATACAGCATAGGTTGTTAACATTTTCTTGGATATTTTGACTGGTTGTCAATTTATTACGGTGGCTGAGAGAGCTCAAATGTGCTGCAAGTTAAAGGGGACCTATTATGTCCTTTTTACAAGTTGTAAAATAAGTCTCTGATGTCCCTGGAGTGTGTTTGTGAAGCTTCAGCTTGAAATAAGACACAAATAATGTTTAATAACTTTTTAAAACGGCCCCTTTAAGGCTTTGATCCAAATAGTGTCATTCTGGTCACTTTAAATTTAAATGAGATTGAGCTCTTTTCAAAAGAGGGTGGAGCTATAAACGCCTATGTGTCAGCATAGTGGCAGATTCAAAACTGTAATGGCAGACGGTTGCTTCTAACTTAGGCATACCTGTGAACCCTCCTGTTTTTCCTGGGATTCTCCCGTATTTTACAGTTCTTTCCCGCTTTCATCCCGTGAGGTATTTTCCCCCATATTTCTTCCGTTTTCTCAATTTCCTGTGAAGGCAGGCAACAAAAAAGATTAAAGAGTCGATCCTCCCTTAACGCAACCCATACCGCCGAACCACCAGATGGCGCCCCTTGCTCTTTCAAGAGTTCACACTTATCTCATGATTTATAAAAAGCTTGTTTGGCGTGCTGTCCCGGGAGAGAGCTCTAAGCTCAAGGGATCCTCGAGTCCAGGGCTCCCTCCCTTTTGCAGGGCAAGGGGAAATCTCAAAATTCACCCGCAGCTGAGACTAAGGCGAACTTCCCGAAAACAAGACATCTAGAAAAAGAGATTTAGGTTTATTTTGTCTATAATATAGAGCATATTTTAACAGTAGGAGGTAGGAGGTAGGAGACATTGGTATTCTTGCTGCTGTGAGGCAACAGTGGGCCGCCGTGCCATCCATTCTGGATAAAGGTGAAAGAAAGGGGGGAGAGGGGTTTCTTCCAGACGAAAATAGTTGTAGAAAGAAAATGAGGATACATATAGAAACTTAGGATCCTTTGATTAGAGGATCATGATTAGCTAATGTTTGCCAGCTGGGTCAATCATGAGTATGTGCTCCTCTCGAAATTAGTTTAAAGGGTCACAAAACACCAAAACACATTTTTTGAGCTGTTGACAGTCGTATATGTGTCCCACACTGCTAAAAACACTATTAGGACACCTATATTTCACTTAAAAGTGTAAATTGGTTGTTTTTGCGTTATTTTAAGCAAATTCATACTTCCGGTTTGAAACAAATTTTTGAAGCTGCGTCACCGTCATGACATAATAGCGTTGTATTCCAGCGTGCAGACTGGACGTCTGTGCCAGAGTGTGTCTTATTACGTCTTACAGTGTGATGCATTAATGCATGAGTAAAGTTTGGTTCAAACCAATCAGCGCGCTCTATTGTGCAACTTCATTAATATTCATTACTGTCACGGTGTTTAGACGACAGAGACGCCACGTTGTGTTGGCAAAACAAGCGTGAAGTGTTGCTTTTATAGTTTGTTGCAGTTAAGTTTCGTTTTCATTTTCTCTCTGTGAGAGCGCAGCTGGAGTCACGTGTGGATTAACAGTGTACGCGACGCGCGACAACAATAACTTACGTGTCTAAGGAGGATTATTGTTTACCTGAGAGCTGTTCTCATCTGCAAACGCTGAGATCCGGATTCGCTTTAGTCTCCTCTTAATAAAGACGCGGCTCTAGTTGCTGGTGATTCTCCTGTCTCTACAGATTTGGTAAGTGAGCGACCAGTGCTCTTTGTTTATTCAGTTTGTTCGTATCTAACAAATTATTGCACCGAGTGTAAACATGTTAGCACTACAACCAAATTTAACCTCGTGTAGGATTGTCACCGGATTTTGTGACCAGAATAACACGCGGCTTAATGATGCTACCTGCCGTGTGCATCTAAGTTTTCGGGAAATGCTGAGTTTTTTTTCTCTCATTCACCGTGCGGTATCAAACATTGCATGAAAATACACGCTTAGAGCAGTTCCTTGAATCAAATATCTCGTTTGTCACGAGGGACATGAATGAATTCCCTGAATGAAAGAGCCAAACTGCAATTAAAGTCCACCATTTAATAATTTGGCAAATAATTCGACTACAGATGTCCATGTAAACAGTCACTTTGTCCCCTGTGTGTATTTTGACTCTGAAATTCAGCGCGCCCAATTAGACACTCCCACACCATCCCTCTTTTCTTCCTCCGACACTCCCCCTAAACAGAGCTGGACACGCCCACTTTTCTGACTTTTTCCAAAGTAGAGGTGTGAAAACACCCTGCTGAAACGAGGGGCTTTCATGGCCCTTTAATATTAAACTTCACTACATGTGAATCTGTTCTGTGCTTTCATTCTACTTAGGCATGAAAACACTTTAAAATAAATATAAAAACTGCACGATTCCTTTCCTTTTTCATTACAAGCGCCGTTGCCCCTTCTATGCAATCCTCAAAACAGTCAGTTCATGTATAGTGGTGCGTGACTGTCAGACGCGCTCCATACTGATAAATAGATGTTGTTTCCTAAATGCATTCTATTTTAAACCTTTTCAACATCAAAAGTCAGTGGAGGAAAGATTAAACTCCCCAAATGCATAAAATAAGAACAAATGTTAATTCACAGATTTTATTTTAGTTTTTTTTTTACAGTGTGTATTATAAGAATTAGCATTCACGTGTTTCTATATTTGCATATATATTTTTTTTACCTTGCATCTCTCAGCCATCGTATTTTATACCCTAAATGACAACATTTTTACTTTAAATTTGAAAGAAATATCATTATCAGTAAGCTGGTTTGCAAAACAAGACTTTTGTCTTAAGCATAGTCAGACCTTACTGTCCTAATTAAATCATTAAAAACCAAGGCATGATCATATTTTATTTGATAAAATAAGCATAATCTGGAGGCCTTTACCTTCCATATAAGCCACTTGTTATACCAAATAATCAACTACAAGTCAAGTTATTATTTGTGTTTCTAAAACTTGGATAGGCGACAAGACTATAGTCAGGTAGTGTTTACTGTATGTTGAGAAGAGGAAACTGCAGTGACACAGAAAGAGAAATGAACATCTCATCTTCTCCACCACCAGAGGGCGCTGTTATTGCACTGTTGGTTCAGATCAAATGAATGCGATCCACTAGATCAGTGGTTCTCAAACTTTTTTCATCAAGTACCACCTCAGAAAAAACTATGCCTCCAAGTACCACCATAATAAGCAGTATTGAAATACAGTAGCGTTGTAGGCCCAGTAAAGCAGCTACAACTCTGCACAGTTTAAAAACCAGGCAGATTAACTCTACTATTATTAGAAGTATTTTTTTTTTATCAGCACTTTAAACATTATAAATAGTTTAAACATTAACACTGTACTGTGCTTATATGTTAAAAAACTAACAAACAAAATAAAATGCCAACGTTTAAATTAAAATGAGCTTGTAAAAGTAAAAAAAATGGTAGGTTACTGTTCTTAAAAAGTAAAAAAAAAAAAAAAAAAACTGCTGTACTTAAATGTTAAGTGTTAATCTGTAGTATCCTGTTCATCAAAACGGAAATGTTGCTTGGCCCTTATAAATATAGGCTATATCATTATAATCATATATAAACCATTTTTGATAAGTTTTGAAATATATGTTGCATGTACATGTGACATGTTTGATTATTCTGCGTACCACTAGAAGGCAGCCTGCGTACCACTAGTGGTACATGTACTACAGTTTGAGAACCACTGCACTAGATGGAGCATCAGGACATATCAAAGTCAGCAAAACAAGTGAAAGATTTGCACTGAACAAGTGCAAAGTTGCAGAATATGCCACAAAAGCGTCACTGCTGTATTTACAGTGTTTGCGTCAAGCGGTGAATTATAGGACAGGCAGATGGCATTCAAGAAGTCACAATCGTGCAAAAGCAGAATCGATGAAGGAAGTGAAAGAAAAGTAATAATCACAATCCTCGTAAAACAATAAAGAGTAACGTATGCCTTATCTATGAGTTTGAGGAGCAGATGAAGCTGGGTTTGGACTCGTATTATCAGATGTAAGTTTGGTTGGGTCAATAATGCAGACAATCATAAAAGCTTCTTAGAGAGCGCTATATGCATTTACGACACACATATTGTGATCTATAACATCAGCAGTAATAGTAGACGTCTTCATAATTCATGACACGTTCTCCATGTTTGCAATTTAGTATTAATGTAGTCAAGTAGTTTCTGTTTCTTGTTGCTGACATGAGCACTAATGGGGACGCGTTTCCTATCAGAATTATTCATACTAGTATTATTTTTTTCAATAAAGCGTGACAATCACATGTGAAATGTGTCTGTGTGTGTGTGGTAAGCGGAGTAAAATTATTATTATTTTTTTTTTGAAAATGTAGTGTTTGTGTGTGTGTGTGTGTGTGTGTGTGTGTGTATATATATATATATATATATATATATATATATATATATATTAGTGCTGGGCAAAGATTAGTCCCTTTCAAAATATAAGTTTGTTTTGACATAATATATGTGTGTGTGCTCGGTATATTTATTATGTATATACACACAGGCATGTATATACTTGAAAAAATATTAAAAAAAAAAAAAAAAAATATATATATATATTTATTTATTTCTTATTGTATGTGTGTATATTATGTATATTTAATAAATATTTATAGTACACACACATATGTCAAACCAACTTTTATTTTGATGTGATTACTCATGAATAATCTTTGCCAAGCATTTTTAAAATTATATATATATATATATATATATAAAATAGAGAATTAAAGTGTACACTCTAAATGCCGGGTTATTTTAACCCAATTCTGGATGTAATAGGAACTAACCCAACTGCTTGGTTAATTTTTTTAATTAAATGAATATGACCAAATTTAGCATGAGTGTATGGCTGTTTCCCAGTACTGGGTTGAAGCTGGAAGGGCATTCGTTGCAGAAAACATTTGTGCTGGATAAGTTGGCGGTTCATTCCGCTGTGGCGACCCCTGATTAATAAAGGGATTAAGCCGAAAAGAAAATAATTAAATGAATGAATGAATGACCAAATTTATCCCAATGTTTGGCTAAGTCCATATTTTACCTAATTTGGAAATAAATAAGCCAGCATTTACGTGTCATGTTACATGCAGAATATGATTAAGTGATTTGGGGGCCCTAAGCATTTCCAGCTATGGAGGCCAACAGGCCTAAAATGCACCCTTTATACTTTTATTTATTATTTATACATTTTATTTATATAAATTTTATTGTAATGTAATTACTACATTTTTAAATGATTTGTTTCGTTAAGGATTTTCATAAAATGAATTCCCAACTAAAACAATAAAGAAACTATTTTATTTTAAAACTAAATATTTACCTGCTTTGACTACTGGACAGCTCCATGATTGGGGCTAACATGTGACATAATTATGTCAAAATTTTATTTGTTAGACCCTTACCATGCAAAATATCATAGAAAATGATGTTATATAATTTATGGGTATAATTTATATTTCTAGGTATTTATCAGGGGCCCTCAGATTTCCTAAATTTTTAAATCCTTAAAACCTTTTGCCACGTAACACGGTATTCATATTCATACTGGTAATATTTACCACTGAATAAAGCACATATCAACTTCTGAGGTAATTGTTGCCATCGCGGATGGATTACGGTCAAAAACTAATTTTAACATGGAAAAGACAGCTGTTATCACAGCATCGAGTTAAGTAAAGATATGGCTATAAGTTTGATTTAAATAAAAAAAACATTATTTTAAAACTACAGTGATATCTTAGTGTTGTATACCAAAATGACTCTAAAGGAAGTTCATCCAAAAATTATTCAAACCTTTATGAGATACTTACTGTTGAGCGAAAAAATAATATATTTTAAAAAATGTTAACAACCTGTTACTATTGACTTTCATAATTGTTTGTATGGAAGTTTATGTTTACAGCGTTCTTTAAAATATCTCCTTTTGTGAAGAAACTCAATTTGGCACAGCTTGAGAGAGAGAGAGAGAGAGAGAGAGAGAGAGAGTAAAATGTTGATTTTTAGGTGAACTATTACTGGGTTATGCAATGAAATGTACTAAATTTCTGACCACATTTAAAAGCACTAGTTAAAATAATTCTAATAACAGACCACAAAAATATTTGTTGTTATTATTATTTTGCAAGAGAAGCAGTATCTGCATATTCTGCACTTCTCCCTTCATATGCCACAGAAACCCATATAGGAACTAATCAAACTGCTGGATTATTTTATTATTATTAAATTAATAAGCCAATAGCTAGCCTATGTTTCCATCCACCTATTTTATGCGCATTTTGCAAATGCGCTTAAAAAACAGTTGGTGGAAACGCCATGATGTGCATAAATTTTGAAAATGCGCATAAAAAACCGGGTAGGATAAACGTTTTATTCGATAAGAAAAGATGCGCATGAACTGCGATGGAACCACTTTCACCGCACAAACTCCAACTTGCGCATTAAAAAAGGTCATGTGATTTTGTTGAACGAGATCATGTGATGCTTAAAATGTGTGTGAATGGATAAAACGTCTGGCTGAGCACATCATAAAACATCTGAAATGTTGTTTTGGTCATTATAAAACGCCTAACCATTTCAGTATTAATGTTATTATATTATTAATGACCTCCAGAATCAAGAGCGCCTGTGCTCCGCGTCTGACACCTTCAACCGCCACTGCGCGCTCACTGCTTGTCAGGATTGTCTTCTGAGGCGCATTCATTTAGAAAAGATTGATGCAGCTTCTCCTATTGCAGCAAATGCAGTTTTTACTGTTGATATTTGGCGCCAGTTAATCAGGAAGTGACGATTTTGTTCGCTTTGACTCGTTGGATGGAAACGATGCTTCATTCGCACAACTTTTAAGCGATAATCCAGTTTTGCGCATAAAGTTTATAAGCATTTTTGGATGGAAACATAGCTTGTGTTTGAATTAGTCCATATTTTACCCAATTTGGGTTTAAATAACCCAGAATTTCATGTTACGCTTCAGAATTTTTTATATTTATTTTCATAATGGTAATATTTAACACTGAATAAAGCACATATCCGCATCTGAGGTGATCCTTGATGTCTGGAGTTGTTCAGCTGCAATGTTGCAGAAAGAGAAACCGTTTCTAAAATAAAAACTTCCATCGCAGATGGATTTAGGTCAAAAACTCCTTTTAACATGGAAATGATGCAGTTAGGACATGGTTTCAACTTTTAAGTAGTTTCTTGAAATAAAACTTAAACTTTAAAAAAGGAAATATTCTTCATTTTCAGTTGGTTGAACTTAATGTGCTAAAATTACAAGAAAAAGCAGCAAAACGACTAAAAGTTTTAAAGAAACAAAAGATGTAACAACTACAGTAATATCTTACATCAAAATGACTCTTAAAGAAAGTTCAATCAAAAATGACTGAGCTTTATGGGTTACTTAATTCTGTTGAGTAAAAATTAAGATATTTTGAAAAATGTTAATAACCTGTTACCATTGACTTCCATAATATTTGTTTATATGGAAGTCAATGGTTACAGGTTTACAGCGTTCTTCAAAGTATCATGTGTGTTCAACACAAGAAAGAAACTCAATTTGGTGCCACAAGAGGGAGAGGAAAATATTCAAGTTTGGGTGAAATATCCCTGGGTTTTACAATGAAATTCCTGACTACATTCAAAGGCATTAGTATAAATAATGCTACTAACAGCCCGCAATAATAATACTTTTCTTTCTTTGCAATAGCAGCAGCGGTATCTCTGCATATTCTGCACTTCTCACCTCATATGTCACAGAAACCCTCCTCCATTCACACCTCACTTTCGTTCGCTTTTTCATGTCAACTGCAGACGTTCAGTCATTCTGAGACACTACAGGAATTGTCTTTGCATCCATCACACCCTAGATGAGCAATAAAAGATATTTGGAGTGTCTGTTTGCACTCGGGACAGATTTTATACAGAAACCTTATCATAAAAGATAATGCAGACCAACATCAAAAACCTGATGTCACAGTGAACCACTGTGACCTGATTAATGCCACATACGGCCTTTTTGAAAAGGGTCGCTCTTTTTTCAGTTTTAACGTGAAACTAGGGACATTCAAGTGCTTCTAAACTTCAAACAGTTGAACACAAATGAAGATATTCTGAAGAACGTTCCAAAGAAATGACACCCATAACAAAAACAAATACTATGGAAGTCAATAGTGACCGGTTTCCAGCATTTTTCAAAATATCTTTTTTGTGTTGAACAAGAAGATGTTTAGCTTTGTGACAAGTGATTAAATGATGAGAGAATTTTCATTTCCCCTTTTACATATTTCCCTTTAATTATGTCTTTGGCTGAACAGCATAAATACCTCATGTAGTCCCTGAGAAATGTGCTTAAGACTGAAGGACCTGCGGCAAGAGCTGTAAAGAAGATAATAAAAAAGCAGTTTACTGTCATGCTTGTCTAACAGTGTAATGCATCACAAGAACATGTTTCAGCCCTCGAGGCTTTGACTGCAGAACAGAAAAAAAAACATATTTGTTTGGGTACATGATGCAGTACACACACACACACACACACACACACACACACACACATTAATTTACAGTGTGTGTGTGTGTGTGTGTGTGTGTGTATACAGTTGAAGTGAGAATTATTATACCCTTTTGAATTTTTTTTTTATATTTCCCAAATGATGTTTAACAGAGCAAGGAAATTTTCACAGTATGTTTGATAATATTTTTTCGTCTGGAGAAAGTCTTATTTGCTTTATTTCGGCTAGAATAAAACATTTTAGGTCAAAATTATTAGCCTCTTTAAGCAACATATTTTTTCCGATAGTCTACAGAACAAACCATCTTTTACAATAACTTGCCTAAATACCCTAACCTGTCTAGTTACCCTAATTAACCTAGTTAAGCCTTTAAATGTCACTTTAAGCTGTATAGAAGTGTCTTGAAAAATATCTAGTAAAATATTATGTAGTCATCATGGCAAAGATAAAATAAAACAGTTGTTAGAAATGAGTTATTAAAACTTTTATGTTTAGAAATGTGTAGAGAAAGGCTAATAATTCTGACCGACTGTATATTGTTTAATATATATTTCTATTATATATCGTGCATATATATAGTTTTTGCATATTTAAGTGGATTGAACATAAAAAAATCAAGTTGTCCCCCCAAAACCTCAAGAATTGTGTTGTTTTGGCTGATTTTAAATTAGTAGTTTGAACAAACAGCAAGCGCTGTTTTTTGAGTGTACTACAGTATATACACTCAGCGGCCACTTTATTAGGTACACCTGTCCATCTGCTTTTTTTTTATAATTATTTTTTAAGGGGTTTTCACCTTTATTGATAGGACAGTGGAGATTGACGGACAGAAAAAGTGTGGGGAGCAGAGACAGGATTGGCAAAGGACCTCGAGCCGGGAATCAAACTTGGATAGCTGCTAGCACATGGATACTATGTGCCGACGCACTAACCACTAGGCTATTGGCACCAACCAACTGCTTCTTAACACAAATTTGAACTTTTTTATTTTATTTTGAACTTTTATACCCCACACAGCATGAAATTCACAACACAAAATGAACATTAAACATGAAAATAATGTAAACAAATTATAATAAAAATAATAGCAAAACAAAAATGATAACAAATATAAAATAAATAATAAAATACAACATACAGTCAAAATGACAACCCTTCAAATTTCCTTTTATGTGCTCTCCAAATACTGCAAAAAGCTACCCCATTTCTGATTAAAAGTATGGGTGGAGTCCTGAAGTCTTGCCAACATATGTTTATATGATGCAGTAGAAGTCATCAGCTCAATCCAATCCTTAAAAGAGGGAGTATCTGAGTTCTTCCAATTTCGCAGCACCGGTCTCCTTAACGCAAATCAGCCAATCACATGGCAGCAACTTAATGCATTTAGGCATGTAGACATGGTCAAGACGATCTGCTGCAGTTCAAACCGAGCATCAGAATGGGAAAGAAAACTGATTTAAGTGACTTTGAATGTGGCATGGTTGTTAGTGCCAGACGGGCTGGTCTGAGTATTTCAGAAACTGCTGATCAATTGGGATGTTCACGCACAACCATCTCTAGGTTTTACAGAGAATGGTCCAAAAAAAGAGAAAATATTCAGGGAGCGGCAGTTCTGTGGCCGCAAATGCCTTGTTGATGACAGAGGTCAGAGCAGAATGGCCAGTCTGGTTCCAGCTGATAGAAAGGCAGCAGAGGTATGCAGAAGAGCATCTCTGAACACACCATCCGGCCATGAGGCGGATGGGCTACAGCTGCAGAAAACCACATCGGGTGCCTCTCCTGTCAGCTAAGAACAGGAAACTGAGGCTACAATTCACACAGACTCACCAAAATTGGATGCCATCATGTCAACATGGAGCAAAATTTCAGAGGTAAAAGGGGGCCCAACCCGGTACTAGTAAGGTGTACCTAATAAAGTGGCCGACGACTGTGTGTGTGCATGTATAGAAAATCAACATTGTTTTAAAATCATCCTTATTGTTGCATGAAATCACCTGTTTATATTTGTGCTCAAATGTTCAGCTAACTAATCTGACTTTACTTTTGCTCAGTGTGTTTTAATCAGCAGCTCTTACTTTTAGTGGTTGCATGAATTCCTCAAGTTCACACTTGCTTGCAGAGAAACCGCAGATGTGGTTCATCATCACAGCAATGACGGACAGGATCCCCTTTAGAAATGACAAAACGTCCATATATTCAAACATCCTTATATTTTATTTGACCATTTTTAAAGATTTGGCATATTTAATTACAGTTTTTCTCAGTGGCTTTGGTGCATTTCTCACAACACTATTTGCATTTGCACAACAGTTAATGCATGTCTCAAAACAATTAGTCATTTGTGCACACCAAAGTAGCAGTTTCTCATTCCTTCCAACAAATTGCAAATGCTTTTAGACATGCATCAATTGCTTTCATTCAACTCTCTGCTGTTTTATAACATTATGATTTGCTTACAGTATGTCATGTCAGTCAAAACCAACTAAACCTGTGAATGCTAAATAGTCATCCCATATAAAACTAATAGTCCTCATTTCATTACTTGAGTCATTACATACAAGAATGATGAACTAGTTGTCAAAATCTATCAAGCAATTTATTTATTTATATTTTTTTCACTCAGATGTTGTCAGACAGTGGGTTGCAACACATAACAGGATGCTGGTGGAATATCTCCCTCCCTACTCACCATTCTTAAATCCAGTAGAGATGTTTTTCTCTTCCTGGAGGTGGAAGCTATATGGCTGGCATCCATGTAACCCCGTCAGTCCTTTGCAGCCAACCCGCCCCGAGCTAGTATCGAGCCGGCGACCTTCCGAATGGGAGTCGGTAGCTTTAACAAGGAGGCTGAAGACCATTGTCTCTAGTATCTGTCGCTAGAGCACCTTTAGAGTTCAGAGGAGTGAGGTTTACCTGCACAGCACTTCACGAGCTGGCCTCCGTCACATCCAAATGCCCAAATGGCCCAGCTAGTGGCCATGGATGCAGCATGTGATGACATCACAGCAGAGTCCTGCAGAGGGTGGACACGCCACTCGAGGAGATACTTTCCTTGCTGCATTGCAAGAGATGATGTTTGCTGTGATGTAGATGAAACTATGTGGCCAGACAGACAGGAATGTCTGGATGTGCATGAATGATTTACAGGCCTGCGTATGTTGTAGGTTCAGTACTAATATGTACTGCAATATTGCCTACAGTTGTGCACAGCTCTACCCAAAGGAAGTTTATGTTTGTTGTAAATAATGCTGTGAATAAATTAGAATGGCAAAGAGCAAATGCAGTAAAAATGTTACACATACATATTCAGTGTCTTGTACTCAGATACCTCACTAAATGCAGTGATGTCTAGGTTTACTGTAGTTTTCAAATGGCTGTGCAAATAGTATATAGTATATAGTATATATAGTACATAGTGCTGTCTTGATCATTTTCAGGACGTGTCACCACAATCTGACTTTTTTTTACATTGGAAAACATTAAAAGAGTAAACTGTCATAATGAAAACACGACAAAGCCATTTGACCATCTTGTTCATATACAATGGTGTCAGGACTATTCATCTTGATGACACTGACACTTTGATTGACATGAATACTTGCTTTTGAGGAATGAGCTATCTATTTTGTACAAGTAACACGCTTTTGCAGGTTATCAACTAGGTTTTGCAGTTTGTACTAATTGTTTTGAGAAATGCATTAACTGTTGTGCAAAAATGCACTAGTGTTGTGAGAAATGCACCAAAGCGACTGAGAAAAACTGTAAGCTGGATAGATAGATAGATAGATAGATAGATAGATAGATAGATAGATAGATAGATAGATAGATAGATAGATAGATAGATAGATAGATAGATAGATAGATAGATAGATAGATAGATAGATAGATAGTCAGGTTTGTTAAAACGTGATTGGCTAATCAGTTTGAATAAGTTTGTGTTGTTGTTTTGTGTGCGTGAGTGTGGCAGAAATTACCACCATGTTCTCTGAAGCTCTCCTTCTGTCTGCCATACTCTCGGTGGTGAATGGCGGGAACTGGCCGAAGGGCGGGAGTCGGCGCACGTCCCCATGGCGACGCAGTGTTTTGTTAGCATGCGCGTGAGTCACCAGTGAGTCACAGTCAGGAGGAAACTCTCTCTGTTCTCCATTCACTCAACCAGAGCCAAATAAGGACACGAGCTCGACGACAGAGACTGGAAAACCGGCCGGTCAGTGGCCGAGCAAGAGTTTGAGACCGCGGGAAGGGACCGGTCACACCCTGCTGCTTCACACCTCAGTTTACCGGCCAAACAACTCGACTTTTAGGTGACAATAATATTTCACTCTATGAGTCACGTCGTAAAGGGTTCAGCAATTTCACTGTTTCACTATGAACAACTGGCCTTCAGCTTTTGTGGTAGGTTACAACAAGCCCAGGCCTTGGTTGCTAGGTTATTTTTGTAAACGAAAACTGAAACTATAAGTCTAAAACTCCAGGGTCAACCTCCATTTTCGTTAACTGAAATAAAATAAATAATTCACAATTAATGAAGAACTAAAACTAAACGAAACTAACAACATTTACTGCAAAAATAACTGAAGTAAAGTAATAATTAGCAAAAAAAAAAAAACTATCATTCTCGGAATTCATAAGCATTCGTTAATCTGTGGTCGAAGAGCTGATCTTTTTGTGAAACAATGTAAACAATGCATGTTTAACTACATACTGAATTCATTCATTCATTCATTCATTTTCTTTTCGGCTTAATCCCTTTATTAATCAGGGGTCTCCACCGCGGAATCAACCACCAACTTACCCAGCATATGTTTTACGCAGATGCCCTTCCAGCTGCAACCCATCACTGGGAAACATCCATACACACACATATGGACAATTTAGCTTACCCAATTCAACTGTACCATATGTTTTTTGGACTTGTGGGGGAAACTGGAGCACCCAGAGAAAACCCACACGAACATAGGGAGAACATGCAAACTCCACACAGAATTGCCAACTGACCTAGGCAGGGCTGGAACCAGTGACCTTCTTGCTGTGAGGCAATTGTGCTACTCACTTCATCTCCGTGCTGCCCAATATGATCTTTAATATAAAGAAGTTTGTCTAAATTCTTCATAATTTTTGTCTTTGATAGTTTAAATTGCGCTTGTGTGGTTTTGAATTCAGTATTTGCTCAAACAGTTGTTTTATTTTTATTAGTAAAGGATTTGCATTGGAGTTCATGGAAACTTTGCTCTGGTCGAATGCACAGAAAATGTAAAAATCGAATAAAAACAAAAGCTTTTTAAAAAAAAGCAAATAACCTTGTTTAGTTGGTATGGTAAAATATCAAAATTTATGTTCTGAAAGTAGTAGGATTGACGGGAATGTTAGTGATTAATAACAGAAAGAACTTTCACTTTTGAGTGAACTTCTGTCACATGTTATTTTAGTATGATAAAATAAACAAAAATAGTAATGCAGAAAAGTATTTTTCGCTCTGCCAAGCCTTCTCTGTTGCTGTATAGAGAAGCAGCCTGCTCAGTCTCCTTACCCCGGCCCCACCCCGCCCACCGACTCCTGAACGTCTCACTCACTCACTCACTCACTCACGTGGGCATGCACTGTGGTCTCATGAGGAAACGCAGCTTTTTGATATAATGTTTTTCTTGTTCCCAAATACAACTAATTTATCAAGTATTGTTTGAAATAAGTATTCGTAAAAACAAGCTATTCCTGCTTTTCCGAATACCGTATTCCGGTTCGGCTCCACCCATAATATATATATAATTTTTTGTTTTTTGTTTTTTTTTTTGCTTTGCATCGCACCCTCCTGCGATGTGACTATCGCGGATGCGCACATCGCGATTTCGATGCTGAAACGATATATCGTGCAGCCCTACTTTGGGCCCATTAGTACTAGCATCGTTTCAACGCCACAACCTACCTAAGTATTGTTGCTGACCATGTTCAGCCCTTTTTGACCACAGTGTAACCATCTTCTGATGGCTACTTCCAGCAGGAAAACGCACCATATGAAAAAGTGTGAATCATCTCAGACTGCTTTCTTGAACATGACAATGAGTTCACTGTACTCAAATAGCCTTCCCAGTCACCAGAACTCAATCCAATAGAGCACCTTTGGGATGTGGTGGAACGGGAGATTCGCATCATGGATGTGCAGCCGACAAATCTGCAGCAACTGTGAGATGCTATCATGTCAATATAGACCAAAATCTCTGAGGAATATTTCCAGTACCTTGTTGAATTTACCACAACTTTTTTTTTAGATTATAAATGTACCCTCAGGAACAGATGATGTGGTTTTACCTCTGAAATTAGACAAAATTGAAGCGTCTTTGTACAAGACAGATGTCATAATCCTTATTTTAGGCTTTAACTCAATTTTAACCAAATGTTTTGTTACTGCACATTGCCACTGTAGTGCAGCAAACAGCTCTTTTATTAGCATCCACACTTGTTTACACTCACCGGCCACTTTATTAGGTACACCTGTCCAACTGCTTGTTAACGCAAATTTTTAATCAGCCAATCAGATGGCAGTAACTCAAAGCATTTAGGCATATAGACATGGTCAAAACGATCTGCTGCAGTTCAAACTGAGCATCATAAAAGAGAAAATATCCATTGAGTGGCAGTTCTACGAGCGCAAATGCCTTGTTGATGTTGATAGAGAATGGCCAGACTCGTTCAACAGAAAGGCAACAGTAACTCAAATAACCACTTGTTACAACCGAGGTATGCAGAAGAGCATCTCTGAAAGCACAACACATCAAACCTTGAGGCAGATGGGCTACAGCAGCAGAAGACCACACAGAGTGCCACTCCTGTCAGCTAAAAACAGGAAACTGAAGCTACAATTAACACAGGCTCTCCAAAATTGGACAATAGAAGATTGGAAAGACGATGCCTGTCTGATGTGTCTTGATTTCTGCTGCGACATTCGGATGGTAGGGTCAGAATTTGGCGCCAACAACATGAAAGCATAGATCTATACCGCCTTGTATCAACGGTTCAGGCTGGTGGTGGTGTAATGGTGTGTGGGATGTTTTCTTTGCACACTTTGGTTTGGGCCCATTAGTACTAGCATCGTGTCAACGCCACAACCTACCTAAGTATTGTTGCTGACCATGTTCAGCCCTTTTTGACCACAGTGTAACCATCTTCTGATGGCTACTTCCAGCAGGAAAACGCACCATATGAAAAAGTGTGAATCATCTCAGACTGCTTTCTTGAACATGACAATGAGTTCACTGTACTCAAATGGCCTTCCCAGTCACCAGAACTCAATCCAATAGAGCACCTTTGGGATGTGGTGGAACGGGAGATTCGCATCATGGATGTGCAGCCGACAAATCTGCAGCAACTGTGAGATGCTATCATGTCAATATAGACCAAAATCTTTGAGGAATATTTCCAGTACCTTGTTGAATCTATTCCACGAAGGATAGCGGCAGTTCTGAAGGCAAAAGGGCGTCCAACTTAATACTAGTAAGGTGTACCTAATAAAGTGGCCAGAGAGTGTTTATCAAGTGCAAATTTTGTTGTTTTAAATTGATACTTCACCCCTTATTTTTCACCCTCAAGTTGTAATAAACCTTAATTGGGTTTGTTTTTTTCTGTCGAACACAAAAGAAAATATTTTGAAGAATGTTGGAAACCGGTAACCATTGACATCTATCACAGGGAAAACAAGGTTCTCGAGAGACCTACCTGAGCTCAAACTCCCCTTTCACCCTGCAAACGGGAGGGAGCCACGGGCTCGAGGATCTTATGAGCTCAGGGCTCTTTCCCAGGACAGCATGCAAAATTAGCTTTAATACCAATCATCAGCTAAGTGTGAACTCTTGAAGTTTAATTTAAAAGCATATAATGGGATATCAGTTTTACACGACTTACAAAGCATAGTGTCAAAATACTCCCTGCCATTGGGGAAGTATTGGAAATATTCAGTAGCTTTTAGCATTTATGTACTTCAAATATGGTGCTCATTTGCTGTCAGACCCATGGCACCTTTTGGAAACAAAGCAATGTACCCGCGGGGTCTTAAAAGCATTGAAAAAGTCTTAAACTTGATCATCTCAAATTAAGGCTTTAATAGCCTTGAATTTGGATTTCATTACAAAGGTGTTATTTTATTCTTTTATTTTTGCCTTTTCTAGGATAAAGTTAATACTGTAACAAAATGAACTGTTACTAATGTAGGCTAATTAAAAATTCATGCAGCGTGTGCACCTTGCGTTTCACATCATTGCAGAAAGCGCGGAAGCGTGTGCACCCTTTACTATGGTTACTAGGCAAGTGAGGAACTAAACAAGATAGTCGTAGCCTAGTTTGTCGGCTAAAATTGGAAAGTGTCGGTTTAATCTGCTGTAGCCAAGGAATCCAAAATACGTTTGGGTCAAGCCTGTGCCAGGAAATGACCGCAATGCCTACTGCTGTTGGTGCCGGAAATCTTTTAAGCTAGCGACGATGGGTGTTAAAGCCCTGAACTTCCATACCGCGTGTAGTGCTGCTCATCAGCGCCAACCACCTATTGTGCTGTTCTACCAGAAAGACTTTAGGAGGCAGATTAACGTTTAAACATTTATTGTGAATTGTTTGCATAAATGCGAGTTCGTTACCGTCCTTTCATAAAGTCCTTTGGCGTAAGCCCCGTCTATAGTGCAGAAATTTGGATGAGCTGGCAGATCCTGCCTAAAGATGAAGGCAGGGCGAAGCCAACCCCTTGAGTGGAGACGAGGCTGACCTGGTGGTGGTGGTGATGGGGAGGATGGAGGGAAACTTCCACAATGTCACCTGAGTAAAGCGAAACAGATGGTTTAGATGGGCTTATTTATATGGCTTTCTTGGTTGTTATAGGCTGACGAGATAATTATGAATGACGTGACATCTCAGTCTTCCTGATTGAACTATAGCTAAAGCTTTTATTTCTGTGCACCGGAGACCTCTTTGGTTACTGAAACAGCTTTGGCTATCAGTAATGAAGAAATTTCCACATTAGAAGTGTTGCGACCACAATCAAAGAACATCCTATCTTACTGTGGCTCAACACCAACTCTGCAGGCTGGGGTAATGTGGGTCCCTAAAACAATCTCTGAGCACCACTCTAAAATGCATCGCTCAGCGCCGTCACAAGACATGCACATGACAGTTAGAAGTATCACACACCAGACGCGCACATTCGTATGCTATTCAAAATTAAACTATTCAGATGGTTGCGGCAGAAATATGAACAGTGTCCTGAGTCATGGGTGGGCCAGCGACCAACCTGTGGCGCCAGTGTGTGTACCCTTATAGAAATGTTTAGAATTCTGAAATGCAGTGCGCTGTGTGGCGCGGCACATCGCCGAGCAGTGCTATTGATGTGCTACCCGCTTTACAAATCGAATGAGAACATTACAGATGTTTTCAAAACCATGTTTCCTGTCCACGAGGTTGCAGCTATATTCTCATGTGGAAGCAACAAAACTGCATATTATACTAAATTTGGACTAGCTCTTTTTATATCTAAAGAAATGACTGCCCAAGTCAATAAGGCCAACAGGTTTGTGGCCATATTTGACCAGAGTCTCAATAAGATGCCGAAAGTA